TTTATTGTGTCATTCTTCCATTACCGGAAGTGGGGGCTCGTACCATACGTTAGTTTCAGGGGCTTGGTTCTATTTGACAACTAGACCTTGTCCCGGGGACGTAACAGTGAAATTCACTCTTTTTCACAATCTTGAAAATTAGAGTTTAATACATATATTTTTTTTCTTCAAATTTTCAATGTTTTCAAATTATGTTTCCATTCTCAAAAGATTGTAGGTACTTACTTTCACAATGTCAATGTTACAACTACCATAATACAAGAACCCACCTCTCGTGACCGGACATGATGCATTCTGTTAGCAACAAAGGCATGACAATTGCCCACCAATACAGGAATCTAAATTATACAAAAAATAACAAGAAACCATGGTAACTTGTGCTCTGGTTTGCTTACCTGAGCTGTGTAGTGGAACATCATCCTGTTGCCCACAAAACCATGACAATTTCCAACTAAAACAGGTACCTAATTTGAAAATCATATTATGAATAACTATCTCTGTTACTTATAAGAAATCGTCTGGATTATATTGGAGAGTAAATTTCCTGTATGTACATCCACCCTAGAATGTTAAAATATGAGAGTTCAAATTTGTCATTACTATGCATGCAACCCACATAACAAAAACTAAGCATGCAACCTGAATAACATTTACCAAGCATGAGCCCACATAACAATTACTAAGCATGCAAACCACACAGCATTTACTTAGCATTCAACCAACATAACATTTACTAAGCATGCAACTCACATATCATTAATATGTAACTGACATAGCATTTACTGAGCATGCAACCAACATAACATGTACCAAGCATGCAACCCACATAATAATTACCAAGCATGCATCCCACATAATTTATGATCATGTAACCAACACAGGATTTACTAAGCATGCAACCCACATAACAAAAACTAAGTATGCAACGCACAACATTTACCAAGCATGACCCCACATAACAATTATCAAGCATGCAAACCACACAGCATTCGCTAAGCATGCACCCTACATAACAGTTACTAAGCATGCAACCCACATAACATTTACTAAGCATGCAAACCCACACAGCATTTAATTAGCATGCAACCTACATAACATGTACTAAGCATGCAACCCACATAATAATTACCAAGCATGCATCCCACATAATTTATGATCATGTAACCATATGCATGACCCCACATAACAAAAACTAAGTATGCAACGCACATTTACCAAGTATGACCCCACATAACAATTACTAAGCATGCAAACCACACAACATTCACTAAGCATGCACCCTACATAACAGTTACTAAGCATGCAACCCACATAACATTTACTAAGCATGCAAACCCACACAGCATTTAATTAGCATGCAACCTACATAACATGTACTAAGCATGCAACCCACATAATAATTACCAAACATGCATCCCACATAATTTATGATCATGTAACCATATGCATGCAACCCACATAACAAAAACTAAGCATGCAAACACACACAGCATTTACCAAGCATGATCCCACACAACAATTACTGAGCTTGCAAACCACACAGAATTTACTTACCATTCAACCAACATAACATTTACTGAGCATGCAACCCGCATAATAATTACCAAGCATGCATCCCACATAATTTATGATCATGTAACCAATACAGCATTTACTAAGCATGCAACCCACATAACATTTACTAAGCATGCAAACACGCACAGCATTTACTATGCATGCAACCCACATAACAAAAACTAAGCATGCAAACACGCACAGCATTTACCAAGCGTGATCCAACACAACAATTACTGAGCTTGCAAACCACACAGCATTTACTTAGCATTCAACCAACATAACATTTACTGAGCATGCAACCCACATATCATTAATATGTAATTGACATAGCATTTACTGAGCATGCAACCAACATAACATGTACTAAGCATGCAACCCACATAACAATTACCAAGCATGCATCCCACATAATTTATGATCATGTAACCAACACAGCATTTACTAAGCATGCAACCCACATAACAAAAAGTATGCAACGCACATAACATTTACCAAGCATGACCCCACATAACAATTATCAAGCATGCATCCCACATAATTTATGATCATGTAACCAACACAGCATTTACTAAGCATGCAACCCACATAACAAAATTAAGTATGCAACGCACATAACATTTACCAAGCATGACCCCACATAACAATTACTAAG